ATAGTAATAATAATGCTAATAATGAGAATCTGGACCGTGTTTGGGTGGGGGATCCTTCAGCGGGACCATTATCTAAGCAGTTCAGATCTGACTTATGAGACTTACGTGTGTTAAGGCTGTTGCAGTGTGAAATGCCAAATTCCATAAGTCGGCATTTTATGTAACGTAGACCCCTGATTAATGAACCCCCTCCCTTAATAGGGATTATAGTAGGGATCCTAACATTAAGGCCCCTATAAGGAGGGGGTTTATTAATCATGGGTCTACATTAAACCACCTTTGCTCTCCTTCTCCGCAGCTTCGGCGTAATGCCTTTTGAGCCAAAAGAGTGCACGCGTGTCTTCAACGAAGCCGGAATGCCTTTCAGAATGCTGCCTCTAACTCATAGCTAGGGCCTTGATATGTTTCGTAAGAGGCCTCCTACGCTCCCTCCACAAGCTGGTTCCTACTGTCGGTTTGGTGCTGAATGCGTGAAGACTGTTTTTGTCAGTTCTAGCACTACTACCATGGAATGACTTCAGTTCATATTTTGTCCAGTTAGCATGAGCTACCAACTTGTACGTGAAATGTGTGATGACGGTGGTCCTGAGCTTGCAAGCAAACCACGACCCATACACACTACTAACAACTAAGCCAGCACTTCCATTTTGCGCTTAACTACCACTTTGTCATTGCAAAAACAAGACCCCCAAGTTGTCACTTCCACTACCTTAACCCAAAAGTATGTAGAATAATGGCCTTTTAGGCTATATTTGGTGGTTTTGGGCTATTATTTTACCTACCTTTGGGGTCCAGGTAAAGCTTTGCAACTTGCTACGAGCAGCGCTTCATGAGCTTCTTCACCTTTTTTCCTGCGTCGAGGGCACTCCTCGCTTCGGCCTGCTCGCGGTTCCGCCTCCGGGTCACTGCGCAGGGAATCCACTTGCTATGAATAATCCCCTGCCTTTTCTGTTACTATTAGTAATACTACCACTAGTCCAAGTACTGCTAACCGCTAAACCCCGAGACCCCTCAACCTTTAACTCCTAAACCCTATACCCTAAACACCGAAACCCTAAACCCCAAAACCCTAAACCTCAAACTCGTAAACCCTAAACCCTAAACCACTGAAACACTAAACCCCGAAAACCCACACCCTAACATCTTCCCATCAAAGGGAAACCTAAACCCTATAGGCCCTAAACTCTGAACCTCAAACCCGAAACCCTAAACTCCCAACCCTCAACCCAAAACCCAAAACCCCTAAGCCCTGAACCCGAAACCAGAAACCCCTAAACCCCGAAACCCCAAACCCCACCATCTTCCCATCAAATGGCCTCTAGGTTCCCCAGCAACCCCTGAATAATAAGGGCTCCCTTTTTCCTCATGTTCAGGTTTGCTAAGGAGACCCCAAATAAAAAGGGAAAAAGGGTACTACTGGGGTACCTAGACCCTGAAGCCTGAACCCTGAATAGTAATTACTTTCCATTCTATGTCCCATTATCCCAATATAACCCCAATATAACCCTAACCCCCACCATCTTCCCATCAAAGCCCTACGCCAACAGTAATAAGAGTGATACTAAGAGTAACAGTACTAGTAGTAGTAATAGTAATAGTAATAGCAATAATACTCGTGATAATAACAGGACAATCCTTGTACCCTTAATTGGGGATATATGGTCCCTAATACTGGGTACTTAGGCCCTAATAGACCCTAAACCCGAAACCCTAAACCCTAAACCCGAACCCCTAAACCCGAAACCCTAAACCCGAAACCCTAAATCCGAAACCCTAAACCCTAAACCCTAAACCCTATGCCTCTGGAGCTTCTCGAGCCAGGTCTCCTCGCGGCGGCTCCGCAGTTTCCGGAGCACCCCGGCGCCTGGGGTTGAGGGTTTAGGGCTTTAGGGGCTTGGGGATTTGGGGGGTTCAGGGTTTAGGGTTTTAGGGGTTTGGGGGTTTTGGGTTTAGGGTTTAAGGGTGTAGTGGTTTTGGGGTTTTGGGTTTAGGGTTTAATCCGAGCACTAGTTTAATAAAAGGGACCATATTTAAAGAAAAAAGATTTGGAAAACTTAGCCGTCCAAGACTAATTTCAAT